GCTAGCAAATAGCACCCCCCCCAGGATCAAGACTGCTGATGCTGGAACTGGAGTTTGAAAATTGTGTATTAATGTAGTTCTAGTAGTCCAGCAGTAGTGCCACAGCTTTTCCTAAGAGCTGGCTGAGTTTTTAAGTACTGTCCCTGCAGTAAAGCTCCTTGTTGTTATCTACTTCCTTGGTGTAGCTGTGCTATTTAGCTTTATTTTCTTTAGCTTCAAGACAACACTCAGGTGTTTGCCAACCATGGGACTCATCTCAACAGCAGGGAACCCCTTGCTTATAACTGCTTCAGCTCATGGCTTTGCCACCAGCTCATGCCTGTGGTGTTCTCTTGCCTCCCTCACACATCTTCACCCAGCCAGGTGATCAGTTGCGTATTTTTTACATTATCGTGAACAAGATTTCAGTATGCTCTTACATCAATACCATCATCCATTTGTGCTGTGATAATTCAATCACAACCATGGCCTCTAAGCTAAGATGAGTGAGAAAAAAGGAAAGATGTGCACATTAGGACAAGTAAAGTGAAGGACTTGGATGAGAAACTAGAAGGGTTAGATGGGTTTGTGCCTCACTGGGCAGGTCACTGGCTGTAAATGAGTCCACCAGTAGGACAATAAGAAAAAGGGAGTCAAGGAGGAATTGCAAAGTAAAGTCTGATGATTCAAGGTAAGTAATTCCATTTTATTATTAAATGCTATTACTTTCATGAATTATAATTCATGTTATTGTATTAGTAGTTTGTAAGGGAGAAATCTGCAAGTTGTATTAGCCATTGATTAGTTAACACAAACCCTGGGAACCAAACCCCATATTTCCCACATACTGAAGTATTCAACAAACGTGGTTTTGCCTGCTGCAGATTTTGTAGGAACAGAACTCTAACGATTGGCATTTCCCTTTGTAAAATCACGGAAAGCTTTAGCAGACGTTAAAAAAAGCAATGTCTAGAAACACACCTTGCACCTTCTCGCACCTCCATACTAGGTGCAGCTAGCCAGTGTCAGGCTTCCTATCGCTGGCTCTTGCATTCATTTAAAGTGACACTCAAGGCGTGTTCTGTTGGTCTGGCATGTGGTTAAATTTGCACTGATGGCTGTCTTTCAACTGTGAAGTGCTGTGGAAACACATGAGGAGCACCATCCATCCATCCTTTTTCTTTCTTTCAATTCAGGGTCACAAGGAAGTCAAAGCCTACTCCAGCAGGCAACTGGCACAAGGCTAGCTGCACCCCAGTGTGGACTCCATCACAGAACACACACACACTCACACCAGGGCCAATTTTCAGAGAAGCCAATTAACCTACCAGCATGTCTTTGGACTGTGGGAGGAAACCAAAGCATCCGGAGGAAACCCACACAAACACAGGGAGAATATACAAACTTCTTTCAGATAGCACCCCAGGTATGGAGTTGAACCCAGGGCCCCAGCACTGCCAGGCAGCAATACTAACCCCTCAGCAAATGTGCCGCCCATGAGGAGCACCTTTTTACAAAGAAATGTGACCGGATTGTAATAGGAATAAAACTGTACTTTACATTGGAAAAAAAAAACAGTTTTAATTTAAGCAATATATTAATTTAAGACAGGAGATTTTGCATTACTTTAGGGCAAAAAATACATTTTATGAAAATTTAAGGGAGAAAAGATTAGCAGAAGGTCAGTCATGTACATAGAAACACATTCACTGCATTGTTAATTATTCGATAGATATGACAATGGTACTTAAGAAGAATTACAGATGGCAAATATCTCGGTGGGGATTAATTCTGTAAAGGAGAAGAAGCCATCAGAGTCGAAGCAGAGCGAGCCATATTAAGTAAGAATATTTACCAAACTGTGCACAGATACTTGGATGCCTCCCCTTCTTCCTAGTTTGGTTTAGCTCAGTTAAGTTCAGAGCTGCAGCGAGGCCTGTTTTGTTATTTAAGGCTGGTAGAAAGCCATCTAACCATGTTCCCCAATCACTGAAGCCATTTACAGTACAAACACTATGCATTTCCCAAAGCCTTTCTTGCCCTGGCCAGGGGGGTAAACGGAATAAGAGCAATGGTTTATGCTAAACAGAAGAATCTATTTAATGAGCATTGAGATAACATAACTTTTTTTCTGCATTAAGAAAGACTTATCACCTGCATTAGTGAATAAAGGACTGAGGCAACAACAAAATTGTTACAAAACAAGGACAGATCATTTAATGATAACTGTGTTTTTCCTCATTAGTTTGGAGAACTTTTTAAGAACCTGTTCCAAGTTCATTTTAGAGTGCACATCACTGAGCAAGTATAACAAGCTGCATTGCACTGCAGAAAGAGTAGACATAAGATTAAAGCGTTTGCATAGATCTAGTAACACCACTTAAATCCACAAAAGCACACAAAATTCTTTACAGTAATATAATATTGACAAGATGCGCTATAATTTTGCACAGAATATTTTCTCTACCCTTAGATTTCAACTACTTGAAAGAAAACAAATCTTTATGTACTCCTTGAATTTGGAATTAGATTATGAATCAAAATTGCCTTTTCAACTATGACACTTGTATCTGAATGAGAGGGGTGAGATCTGTGCAAGTACTCCTCTGATATTGAGTTCCATTGACTGAAGAAATGATAAACGACACCCTTATTACACTGGAAGTTGCACAGATTAATTAATTAATTAATTAATTGCTTACACTTATATAGCGCTTTTCTGGACACTCCACTCAAAGCGCTTTACAGGTAATGGGGACTCCCCTCC